TTTCTAAATTGAGCATCCAAAAAATATTGATGATGAGAATGGTTTATATTTTCCTTAACTTTTCGGAGAAAATCATCTTAAGCAATTTTGATGGCTTTCCTTTTAAATTTTAGAAGTTTTAAAATTACTTCATAATTTAATAATGAAAATATATTATATAATTTACAACATCAAACACAAAGATAGTATGATAATAATCTAAAATATTAATTTTTCAATTCATATATAATTAAAAGGTCCAAAAGTTATTAATTTTCTATTTGTTATTTATCAAAGTTGCCTATCTAATGATGAAATATATTAGATGCATATGAATATATAGGAATATTTTAGTTTATCATAATTTTCAAAATTTACTATTGATTAAATATTAAGGATCTAGATTATTATTGATATTATTGAGGCCCCCTATATTTTCTTTCTGAAGGAATAAAAACTATAAATGAAAACCTTTATAATTTAGAGAATCTATTACAACAAGAAAATGTAATTTCAAATGTAGATTTAAAATATAAGGCTGACATTCACTTGTAATTTAATTCGTATCATATATTTTGTCATACTTATTCTATAATATAATTATAGATGGCTTCCAAAATTATAATAAATTGTATATATAAAATTAGATATTTTTTTATTTTCATCAAATCATTTCTATTGATAAATACTTTTTTTATCATGCTTTCATAATCAATTAAATTTTTTAATATATGTGGTTTGTAATTACATAATCATTTTATTAAATAAATTTAATAAATGAGTTAATAGAAATTGTTTATGTGTTAACATATAGAACATGAAGGTGAAGATATATAAGGTTTCTGTTTAAACTTGAGTTGCTAAGATTTAAGATCTTAGTTCTGTCTTCAATGTGCAATTGATCCTATGAAACATACCAATTGTAAGAAAGACTTAAAAGGATTTGGTTAAGTTTAAAGTTTTGTCACTAAATTCAATTAATATATATGTGAATTAACAAATTAATTGAATGAATCCTTTGGATAAGTCAAAATAAAATATGAAGAATCTTCAAAATAATTGGAAAACATGAAAAAATAATTATTTAAACTATCTGAATATTTAAGTTAATAAGATTATCAATAAATGAAGGATAATTTACAGTTGATTAAGGAGTGGTATTAATATTAGAATAATAAAGAGAAGATTTCTAAAATGAATTAAATAGGTATTAGTGAAATTCATATTTATAGGAAATTCACTAATAGATCGGAAGAGCGTCGTGTAGGGAAAGAGTGTAGATCTCGGTGGTCGCCGTATCATTAAAAAAAACAGGAGGTCTCCAAGATA